TGCTGCTCGGCGGGCCGCCTCCGCCCCCGGCCCGCGCCGCGGAACCCCCGGGCAACACCGGCGAGGAGCAATACATCTCCGATCTCCGGCGGTCCCTTAAGCCCGCCACCCCCGGCCGGCCACAGATCCCCTTTCCCACCCGTGAGGCCGCGAAGGCAAACGCGGACGCAAACCTCGATCCGGGTGCCGGTATCCCGGTCCCGGGAGGAGCGGACCGGCGCGGCGCGCCGCAGAAGACCCCCCCGCCCGACACCCTCCGGGCCCTCGTCTCGGTCGATGCTTCGATCGACCGGAGGAGGGACCGGCCCTACAACGCCGCGGACGTCCTGGTCCTGCAGGTGTGGTCGGGCCGGCCGCCGGAGGGTGCTTCCCGGGGTGAGGCCTCGCTCCTGGGGGGCGCCCGGATCCCGATTGGTGCCGTCGTGGGCGGCTTCCCCGTGGACGCCACGCTCGGTCCCTCGAACGCTTCCGGCGGACGGGACGAGTGGGGGGCCGCCCTGTCGTCAGAGAGCCTCTGGCTGAGGGCCAGCGTCTGCCGGGAGGGCGGCGGAGCAAGCAGCCCCTCCCCGGGGGACCCCTGCCCTTCCGGCTCCGAGCGGGTGCTGGGGGGGACCGGATTCTCCAAGTGGATCGGCTTTGCCGGGGCGGCGGAGGCACCGCGGGGGCAGCCCGGGATCGGGGTCCGTGCCCCCGCGTCCGTCCTCCTCACCGAGACGAAGCCGTAAACCGAACGGGCCCTTTCGTTCCGTGCCGCGCTGCGGGCGGGTCGTGGCCCGGCGGTGGAAGCGAGCCGGAAGCTACGAGCCGTGCCGCCCTCCGGAAAGCTACCAAACACGGCGTTGCCGGTCCGAGGAACACGGCCGCAGCATGGCACACGCCCTCGCAGCCTGCAAGGAAAAGAGCGGAAGGAGCGACAGGAAGGCAAACGCAATCAAATTCGGCGTGTTCGGAGTTGCAAAAGGTGGCGTTCAGGAGGAATCGTACCTCACCTTCGCTATGGAAGCCGCGTCCTGTTGTGGGAGGACGAGTTCTCTGTGCAGTGTCACAGTCAGTACCGAACGATTCCGTTGCGCCTTTTGCAACTACACAGCCAAAGTAAGACGATGTTCATTAAGAATGCATAGCACAATGAAGTAGAGCATGTAGAAATATTGATTATTGATAGCGAGGAAGGAAAGATTTGTTTGATGTAAGACTGGCCAGAGCAGCACAGATGCCCAACTGTTGGAGTTTACGTTCCTGTGCAGAGTGTTCAGCAGTTTGAAAGGGTTTCTCGATCGTTTCCATGACATGCCACGACATACCATCGCAACATTCCTTATCAAGATGTTCGGAAGCGTTTGTAGGGCTGGTGCGGTTCACTAGAATCTTCAACACTTCCACCGTTGGCACCGCCACGGCGCTGTTCTGGTGCTTGTTGTCGCGACAGATGTTGCTGCCGAAACTGAGAAGAACTTTGCTTGGACGATGAATGGGGCTCTAGTTCCGTCGAGATTGCAGCGAGATGCTGATGGTGGCGATGGTAGGTTACGGGAGTCGGCGAGAGTGCCGCTGAGGGTCCGCCCATGAACCCCATGGCCGTTGCCGCTTCTAGCCGATTCCTATCTCCGCTGGTGTTGTCCGTTGGGGGAGTGCTGCTGTTGCCATCTTGCTCCTTCCAATCTGGACCCGTCCGCACCCTAGGAGTTTCCTGTGGGGGATGGACAAGATGGGGAGGTGGAAAGTGATGAGGAGGAGGCAAATGAGGAGGAAGTGGATGGGTTGGATACCCATACGGATGGTGAAGGTGGGGCGGAATCGGGGGATGAGGAGGATAATAGGCCAACGCCGGTGGAACCGGATGATGTTGCTGCTGAAGCGCAGCCATTTGATCCTGAGAATGATATAGCATGCTGTTGCTGCTACCGCTCCTTGGAAGTGTCYCATCTCCGGCTACTCCTCCGGCTGCCGTAGGATTGACAGCAGCGGAATAGGATCGATAGTGGTATTCGTGATCTTGTTGTTGTTGCTGTTGCGGAGGCATCTGGTGGGAATTCATCGGGTGGTGTTCGTGGTCCTGCTTAGGCGACTGCTGCTGCGATAGCGACGAAGAGGTAGTACGCTGTTGCGCTTGAGAATGAGCCAACGAAGATGATGTCCTCTTTACTTGGCACTGCGATGATAAATGTTGTCGCATCGACATGGGCACGGCGGGTTGAGAAGGATGGACATGGTAGGCCGGTGGGGACGCCCTCTGCTGCTGCTGCTGCTGCAAGTGACGCTTTTTTTCCAGCTGTTGCTGCTGCTGACTACGCTGTGACTTGCGGAACTCACGAAAGGCCATCATAACCTTTTCCTTCGCGGTTTTTGAATCCAGTTCCATCCAGTAACCCGCCCCTTGGTGCTGCTTCAAAAAATGGCGCCGAAGGTTTGAAATATCTTCCAAGATTTCGTTTGCAATCGCATTCTTTTGTTCCCGGTTGGCAGCCATGTCATAGCGGGCAGATCTAGCCCGAATGAAATCCTTACGAAAGGAAACATTACCAGGATGGCTGCGTACCAATTGTCCCCGGCCTTTACATAGAGCGAAGCAACAAACAAGCGCATAAAAGCCAAAGTAATAGCGGGAGGAAAGCATCGTAAGAATAATGTTGAGTAATATGAATGTTCATTTTCAATTCAATAATAAGTAAGGAATAGTCACTCGTAACTGTAGTGGTGATGAGAAAATTTTTGAAATGCAATGGCAACAACTTACCGGACAAGATATCCATGTTCAATGGGCATTCCACAATTTTGAAGGATCGATTTTGCTTGGACGCCAATTCTTTAGCTTCTTGTATTGCAATCCATTGCAAGTGATCTTCTGTCTTGATAGTCCCATCGTATTTGAGAGGGAGTCGGTCTGTTGGTATCCCTGCCTTGTTGAGAGATAGAGAACATTCCATCGACGTCCCATTGTGAAATCTGGTCCGGGTGCGCTCAAACGGATGAAATGCCTCGAGCAACTCCGATTTGATGAGGTCCAATTCCGGCCGATTCGGGGAGCAAACGTGGATTGCTGCAACCCGCACCGGGCCGCAACGAAATAGTTTTGAAAGAATTCGAAGACTGGTCAATGTGTGATTGTGTTGATGGGACCGTTCATGCGGGTCAAACTCCAAAATGTCTTGTTGCTGCTCTTTAAGCTGTGGGTCAGAATCTGAAGCCGAATCGTTGGCGAAAATATTCTCGCTTTCAGTTCGTTGTATCGATGTAGACGATGATGCAGATGGCGATGATGGTTTTGATGTGATTGCTGCCCCCAATGATGTTGATTTTATAGCTGATGATGTGGATCCTGTGAATGGTCCCGATTTCCCCAAGACAGCACGAAGTGCTAGCATAAAGATGAAGACAATCCCCTGTTTTTGTGTTTCTTCATCGTCCGATGCGACTTGCATTAAATACAACGCAACTCGAACCTGACGCACAAATATTTAAAGCGAAAAAACAGAACGAAATAATGACACAAAAAATGGTAAGGCGGATGAGGAAGTAAATACTATGGGACAGAGATCAGACCCTCCTCCACTCGTGCAAACTATCTGAAACGGACACGCAGAAAAAATCCAAAAGTCACGCACCATAGATGTTTCGTTCTGAATAGCCGGTTCGCCGGTGCTGGTGCACCTACACAAATCAAAAGATCCCGCTATGCGTCGGCCAGCATCGGTATCTATACCGTGATCATGGCCTGGGCCACTCTGGCCTTGTTGTGCGGGCTTGGATTGATCCCGAAAACGAAAGATTTGTTGATATCCCTTTCTCTGGAGCTGCCGTTCGGTGGCACTCAAATCGGACAAGCGAATAGGGCGCCCCAGGAGTTCTTCACCAAAGGATTCCCACAAGAGTGTGAGATAACTGGCCATGCGTCTGGCGGCTCGCTTCACATCATAGTGCTCGGCCCGCAAAAGCTTTGCACGAAAGCCAATCGAATTGGCATAAAAGCTGCTGGAATCAGCTGACGACAGGACTTTCGCAATAGATTTGAACAGTGGATTGATCTTCTGTTCGTCGGGATCTTCAAGCAAGCGGGTGAGCTCACGGCCAAGGGAGTCTGATTCCATGGCCAAAGCTGCAACGTCGACGGAAGGCGGTGGCACCAATTTTATTTCGCTATCCACGCTCGAATTGGCTTTTTGAAGGTGATGATTCTGAATTTTTCCACCAATACGTCGCATATCGAAATCCACTCGTTGGCGATCGATCTCGCTTAGCTGCTGTCGCTCTTCTTCGATTTTTTTATCAAGATTTTCTTCGTCTTTCGTCGCAACTTCTGTTGGATTATCTTCAGACGCAGAAGCAGCAATAGAGGGAGTGGAAGTCGGTCCTCCGATGGAAGGTGCCGGTGAACAAGAGGAAAAATTGTTGTCCGTGGCAATCTGATCAACAGCTGTTCCACCAATCACTTCCTTTTCTTCCGTATCAATACCTTTTATAGTAACTTGGAGCAGGCGTGCAGCTTGTCGATGCTGTTCCCCGACCGAATCACTGCCTCCGCTGCTTTCAGTGCCATTCTTGTTTTGAGGATTATTGATGGCAACATCGTCGTCCATCGTCACAGTTACAGGGAGCCAAAGGTCGCCGTTATTGAGCTTTAAATGTGCTTGCGGTGGATGTTCTTCCATTGGTTCGTTCAATGGCAGAAGACGTGTTTCGTTATTTGGTTGATTGGTTTACCGAGAAGGATGAATACGCCAATTTGCACCTGGTTGCGATTGCTGCTTCGAAAGTGCTGCTGCCCGAAAGCTGGATCCGTCCAGCGGGAGAGACTCGATTTGAGCAGCAGCTAAGTTTTTCACGACGCAGCTTCTTCAATTGCTCCGTGTGTTGCAAATTGGTTCGATAAAAAAGTTCGTCGATGCTTTAAGTTTGCTCGAATGATTGTACAATTGTATTGATCCTGGCAATCTAGCCGTCAGAGACGAGGTGACTGTTGCTTTTGGTGACGATGAACTTGTTACTCCGATGTATATGTCGTTAATGCAATCAATGCTTGGCTTTGCTTTGTTTCTTCCGATGAATACAATACCCCTTGATGGGAAGTTTCGAGTGACAACGGGGCTAGAAAGGCTAGTCTCTCGTGTTCGTGTGACGTAAATCTATCCCAGAGCGGCCTTGCAAGTGATCTGAAATCCAAAGGCTGCTACGTTGATTTGGGCATACTTCACCTTCTTTGGGTTGGGTTTGTCTTCTCACTGCTAACGAAACTTCAACGGCTTTACAAAGCGTGTGGTCGTTTTCCACTAATTGATGCTCTGCCGATGATTTTTCTCTAATCAGTGTCTCGCCGAACAAGATTGACTCGCTGCGGTTCTTATTGCTGAAATAGCCATTTTTCATTTATGCAAGAAAACATTTGAGCTTTGGTCGGGACCCCTTTTGGTGCATACCTCCGATGTGACTTTTTCGTGAGATAGACGTATCTGTGATTCTAGGCTAAACCCGTAGATACGATTTTATGGTGACAACTTGAAAGACTCATTTTTACGGTCATTTGACCGTTAACAATGTATTCCGATGTGGTCGCGAGAGTCCGTCGGTGTTTTCCACGACCGTTCAAATGGTTATGAGCCCCTAATACTTGTGTCCAAAGTTGATTCAACGAATGGTTTGTTAAAAATTGGAAGTTTGTACCGTAGTGATACCGTGTGACGTCGTATGGATGACAGATTGATAAGTGAGCATGCTTCCAAGTTGCCGGGGCCAGAACATGCTTTGCAGATTTACATTTCTAGMTGTTGTGGCATAGAATTGTTCTCCACGTCACGGTACAAGTACTTGCAATTGTACTTTATTTCTGGATCGCATGGCGATGCTCGCACCACAACTGTTTTTCATATGCTGTACGTACCGGTACGAAACTGTGGAACACAGGAACGATAACAATTTGAAGGAACTCATGGGAAACTTGGTTCTGTGGAACATCATTCAAATCATTCTTCCGTAAAAGTTCTCAGAAGTTTTCTGAAGAACAAAATATGGAAGGTCACAAACAAACATTTTTCCATTAATTTCATTCGGTACTGCCCGTATGAGATTCGGAGGCGAAGGATGAAAATTCGACGAAACTCACAACAAACCGTTTTTAGGATGAGGAACTCAGTCGATTTCAATTTTTTCAGAGAAAATTAATTCTCGAATCCCCTTTTCCAATAATGTGATAAGAACTCATCACAAATACTACGGATATCATAACAAGTGATCGCAGCACTAAGAAAGTGGTTCCCATCATTAATTTAATGATGCCATCCTTAGCCCAGTAGAACACAATACAAAATGTGCTGAGGTAGTTTGCAAATATTCTGGTGGCAGAGAACCAATCCTGCTTCTTTCTCAGAAAGCCAATCATGCTGAAAATTTTTGGGAGCAACACTCAGTAGAGCTCTGTAGAATTTGTACTGAAAAAAAATAAGGATGGCATCTGCAACGGATACGTACGTACTGTATTGAAAGGATACGTACGTACTGGAAAGGAAGCATACGTACGTACTGGAAAGGAAGCATACGTACAATACGATGCTCCCTCTGAATGGATGGATATACCATTCCTACCTACATATCATAATATACTATTC